AAGTTTTTAAATATTTTTTTAAATATTATTTTTTTTCTAATATTTTTTAAAAATTTTTATTTTATTTTATAATATAAATTAATTTCATATTTAATTTTAAAAGTATAAATTATATATTAATTATATAAGAAAATCTTTTTATTATAAATAAAATTAATTAATATTTAATAATTTTTTTTTAAAGAATTATATTTTTTTTATTATTAAAAACTTTTTATATAAAAGAAAATTTATAAAAAGTTAAAGTGATTAATTATATTAAATAACTTAATAATTTTAAACTTATAATATATATTCAAAATTAAAAAAAATTAAAAAAATTAAAAATTATCAAGTTATTAATCTTTTTTATCAAAGTAAATTTATAAAATTATAAAATTTAAATTAAATATAATTTATTCAATTATATATATTTTATCTTAGTCTTAAATTATATAATTATATTAAATATTTCTTTATATAATTAATTAAAACTAATTAATAAAATAGTTAAAAATTCTATACTTATATAAATAATTTCTATTTATATATTTAATTATATATTTATTTAAATAATTTATTTAAAAAATTAAAATCTAAAAAAATTTAAGTTAAAAAATAATATTTTATTTTGAAAAGTAAAAATTATAAAATAATAAATTTATTTTAAAGTTAAAAATTTATATTTAAACTTAAAAAAATAAATTAATATTTCTTTAACAATAATAAATAAAAAAGTAATTTTATTATAAATATATTTTTCATAAAAAACTTTATAATATATAATTTTTTATGATATAGTTACTTCATTATATATACTTAAAATAAATATAATAATAAGAATAATTAAATCTTTTTTTTAAAAAATATATAAATACTAAATATTTATATTAAATTTTATATCTTAATTACTATTATTTTTTATTAAAATATTTAAATTTAATATAATTATATACTTTAAAAGAATTTAAAATTTAATTTAATTTAAAATATAATTTAGTTTTTAATTTTAATATATTGATAAAAATATTATAAATAAATTTAATTAGATTAAATTTATTTAACTAGTTAATATTCATATTAAAATAAAATATAAAAAGAAAATATTTTTCTCTATAATAT